TTTTTTTTTATTTTTTTTTTTTTTATTATTATTATTATTATTATTATTATTATTATTATTATTATTATTATTATTATTATTACTATTACTATTGTTGTTGTTGTTATTATTATTATTATTATTATTATTATTATTATTATTATTAGTATGTTCATCTATTTCTTCTGATTGGTTGGGTGGCCTGTAATATACACCTATGGCAATATCACTTTTTTCTCTTTTATATTGACCCAGAGATTTTATCTTTGATCATGTGCTTTTCTGTAGATATGTAGTGTTCTTGCATATAGTGCAACTCCCCCTCCTCTTTTTGTAGATCTATTTCTTTTGAACAATTTGTATCCATCCATCATTCCATTCCATTCATGGATTTCGTCCCACCAGGTTTCTGTTATGCCAACTATGTCATACCCTCCCTCATGTACTATTGCTTCTAGTTCACCCTGTTTGTTCCCCAAGCTTTGAGCATTTTTATATAAGCATTTAAGACTTTTATGCCTGTCCATGGCTGTGTTTCTCACATCTCCTGATTGTTGTTTGACTTTTTCCCTTTTTCTCATCACTGCCTACCTCATTGTTTGATTTGTTTTCTTGGGATTTGTGATTGGTTTTGGGTTCTAGAGATTCTAGAGATTGATCACCCTTCCCCCTCAGTTTTAGTTTAAAGCCCTCCTGATGAGTTGAGCAAGTATTTTTCCAAGTACATTTTTTCCTGTTTTAGTGAGGTGCAGTCATCCCTTGCCAAGAGTCCTTTGTGTAGGAAATGCAGTCCATGATCCAGGAAACCAAAATTTTCTTGGCGACACCAACCCTTTAGCCAATGGTTTATTTCTAAAATTCTTTTTTCCCTCATGGGTGTTGACCTTTCATTGGGAATACTGATGAAAACACTACTTGTGTTTCTAGCTTCTTAACTTTATTGCCTAGTTGTTTGTAATCTCTCACTATTGTACTTAGTTTGTTTGTTGTGTCATTCGTCCCAATGTGGAGGAGGAGGAAGGGGTAGTAATCTGTAGGCCTAATTAAATGTCTGCTGTCTCCAAGTAATTCCTGTTTTGGTTATATCCAGAGTCAACAAATATAATTGTAGAAAGTCTTTTCACTTGTAGACTCATACAAAGGCACTTTGTTTACACCAGGCGTTGTTTCAAAGTCAAACACTTTCAGATTATTTTATTATTATTTAGTGTTACTGTAGTATCTTCTTTCAATATTCCAAGTATCTTTATAGGTTATAGTTATCTCAAAGTTAATTACATTAAAGTGAGTAAAAGCTTCCCTTATTAAAAGCCATCATGTTATTTTCATGTTCCCATCCCATAGAAAAGTATGCCATCCTAATTATAAATCATATCTTTCTAAATACAATGGTCTTTTAATATCTAAAAATTATCTATTTCTTTTAGCCATATTCAAACACTTGCTTGGTAATATAAGGCCCCATCCATATACAATATTTGGATAAAGCTTGTTGCTGTTTTAATCTTTGCCAGTTTTATATCTAGCATTCTTTCAATTCTCCAAAACTCTGCCATAAGCATGCTTTAGGTGAAAGCTTTCTTCTTGGAAATAATCTGCAATTCATTAT